ACCGTGGCCCCGCAGGGGGCCCCTCACCGAAGACCCCACTGGGAAAGTTCGCATGGCGGCTCCCCCCCCACCCCCGAGCCGCCCGCCGCAGACCAGGGGGGCCTCGCCCCGCCCAACGAGAAGGAGGAGGAGGAGGAGGAGGAGGAGGTGGAGGAGGAGGAGGGGGAGGGGGGAGAGGAGGAGGAGGGAGGAGGAGGAGAGGAGGAGGAGGAGGAGGAGGAGGACGAGGAGGAGGAGGAGGCGCGGGCGTCCAGGCCGCCGAGGGCGGCCTCGTGCTCCGGGTGGCGCCGCAGGAACAGCCGCACGGCCCCCGCCAGCGCCCCGCGGGTGGACTCGACGAGGGCCGCCGCGTGCTCGCAGCCTCTCCGCTGGCGGCGGGGAGGGTCCTCCTTCGCCTCCTGTTCCTCCTGCTCCTCCTCCTCCTCCTCATCCTCCGCTCCTCCTCCTCCTCCTCCTCCTCCTCCTCCTCCTCCGCCTCCTCTCCTTCCTCCTCCTCCTCCCCTCCTCCTCCTCCTCCTCCTCTCCTCCTCCTCCTCCGCCCTCCTCCGCCTCCTCCTCCTCCTCCTCCGCCTCCTCCGCTCCTCCTCCTCCTCCTCCTCCTCCTCCTCCTCCTCGTCCGCCTCCTCCTCCTCCTCCTCCTCCGCGACGTCGACGTCGGCGTCGATAGCACTTTCTTCGTCTCTGAGGATGTCGGGCGATTTGGGAGGTTCTCGTCCACGGCTGGATGGATGTATTCCGAAAACTTACCAGGATGGATCCTGGGAGAGGCCAGGGGACAGATTTGGAGCAGACTTCGGTCGGGGGCTAGGCCGAGGGGGCCTTGGAGGGGAAGACAACGAGCATCGATGATCGAGGACCGAGCATCGAGGGCCGAAGATCGCGGGAGGGACGTCTGGGGTCGAGGGCCGAGGTATCGAGATCTTAGGACGCCTGCGGCCCTCTTCGGGCCTTCAGAGACCTCGGGCAACATCGGGTGACCTCACGCAGGAGCCGGGGACGCCTGGAGACCTCACGCGCGAGCGGTGCAGGAGAACAAGAGGAATGGGAAGAAAGATTGCGGGGCCAGTGGAAGAGGCAGGAGGGGAGAGAGGAGCCGCCGGAAAACTGCTCGAGGGGTGCGGGCACGTGGGGAGAGAGCCAGGGCAGGAGGGGGCAGGTAAGGAAGGGGCACGGAAGGGACAGGCACCCTTCGAGCCGTCCTGGAGGCCCTCTGTGCCGCCTGCGGGCGCCTGGGGGGCCTTCCTGGACCGCGAGGAGGAGGAGGAGGAGGAGGAGGAGGAGGAGGAGGAGGAGGAGGAGGAGGAGGAGGGGAGGAGGAGGAGGAGGAGGAGGAGGAGGAGGAGGAGGGGGGAGGGGAGGAGGAGGAGGAGGAGGAGGAGGAGGAGGAGGAGGAGGAGGGAGGAGGAGGAGGAGGAGGAGGAGGAGGAGGAGGAGGAGGAGGAGGGAGGAGGAGGAGGAGGAGGAGGAGGAGGAGGAGGAGGGGTCCTCGCTGGAGGCCGGCGTGGGGCCCGACGAGACCTGCCTCTGGCCGCCCTGGACCTGCGGAACCCCGCTGCCGGCGCGCGCGTGCGCACAGTGCTAATCAAGGGAGCACGGAGACCGACGCGCACAGCTCCAGAAGCGTTCGCGGCCGCACCGTTAGGGAGCCACATGCGAGCCCTACCCCTACCCCCCACGATTTCTGAGGGGGAGGGTGTGGTTCACTTCGTTCGGGAGCTCCCGAGCGAAGTGAACCCCACCCTCCCCTTCAGAAATCGTGGGGGGTAGGGGTAGGGCTCGCATGTGGCCCCCTAACCGGAGGCGTGTGCTGAAGCCAGGCGCTCTCGCAGAGCGCCACCGTCCGATGATGCTGGTAGCCTTTCTCACGTGTGCTGATGCCAACGCAGTGGCTGGCCAAGCTAATCTCCGACTTCGTATTCCACATCTCGTGGAGCAGCGCGAGAGCCAACTGCCACCGCTCGCATTTATAGCACGCGTAGGCCACAGCATGGTGGCTGATGGCAGTGGGCTTAGTGTTGGCCCTCCGCATCTTGCGAAGCAGCACCAGAGCACTGTGTCATTGTTCACCTTTCTCACACGCGCTGGTCCCAGTGTTGTAGCAAAGTAGGGCTGGCCCGTGGACTACGTCAACGAAACCTGTAAAAACTGGCATGTTGGTGAGCATGTTGCCGAACAGCTGAGATTATGCGCATGCTACTGCGTGCTGCCGTTTGCTGCCGCTGTTGCGTGTTGTTGGTAATGTTTGCCGCTGCTGCGTGCTACTGATGCTTGTGGCTGCAGGGTGCTGCTGGTGACTAGTTCTGCTGATTGAGTTCTGCTGTCAACTGCCTGTTGCTGTTGCTTGCTGTTGCTGTGTGCTGCCGCTGCTTGCTGCCTGCGGCATGCTTCGTGCTGCTACTGTTCGCTGCTGCTGCGTGAAGCTGCAGCGTGTTGCTTTTTGCCTTTTCGGCCTACTGACGCAGACTGCTACAAGGAGGAGACAGGATCGCGGAGAACGAGGAGGGTGAGAAGCGATGATCATTCAACGAAGAACGAGAAGGGAGAAGCGACGGCCGAGGATAGAGGGGCGAGGAGGAAGGAGGGAGAACCAAGGAGCCAAGGAGGGAGGAGGCGGGAGAGACCTCCAGGGGTCCCTTGAAGCATCGCGAGCGGAGGCCTCTCCGATGTCTCTCGGGGGCCTCTTGAAAGTCTCGTGGGGCCTCCTTTGGGGCGCCTTGGGCTCGCTTTGGGTCCTTCCCAAGCCAAGCCTCCTGGAGCCATCGGGCGGTCCTTGGGGCCACTGGGAGCGTCCGGGGACGTTAGGGGGGGGGAGTCCTTGCGGCAATCTTGGGGCGACCATGGGCCGCCTTGGGCGGACCATCTTGGCGGCCTTTTGGACCGTTTCTGAGAGCCGCGTGGGCCGTGTTGTGGCACTGTCTCCCAAGCTGTCAGGAAATTGTTGGTGACTTTTTCTTACGGTCTCCCGGTGGTCCTCTTTGAGACGTCTGGGGGCGCGGCGGGGGCACCCTGGGCAGTGGGGAAGCCATAGTGGGCTGACATGTGGCGTCGGAGCTCTCTGGGGCCATCTGGAGCACTGGGCGGTCTAACGCCTCTCTTGGACCGCGTTGGAACTCCCTTGGGGCCCTCCTGGGCCGTCCTGCAGCACCCCGGGGGCGCCCAGACGACGCGACGGGGCCTCCTGGCCCGATGTTGGTCCACCGCACTGTGGCACCATTCCAACACGCGGCGCTCCTGGGTACTGTGGACTCGGCTGGCCTGTGGACGACCGACCACACAAGCTTCCTTGCATGTGAGGGTGAACTCAAGCTTGCCCGCTTGCCTGATTGCGTGCCTGCAAAGGCCAAGAGGCCTGACAGCATGTGACCCGCAAGAGCGACTTCTTCCTCACAGGCCGCTTGCAAGAAATATAACATATTATAATCATGAAGTAGGAAGGCGTTTATAGTAGAGTGGGTTCGGGCCGACCGCGAAAGTGGAAGGCATAAGGAGAGTCCTTCGGCTTCGCACTTACACTGGATGTTAATATGAAGTTCCAGTACACAGATTGACAAATCTACCGACCCCCGATTGCCAAAGGTGCGAAGACGTGTGAGATGTTCGGCTGTCCTCCACCCTCCCCCTTTCCCCTTCTCTGGGGATGTCCCAAATCCTGTTTCAGGGGGGGCGTCCCCCCCGGACTTGCCGACACATCTCTGGGGTCTTCGCAGCCTCCAGATCCGCTCTCTGGCGCCTCCAAGGTATCCCACGTGCCATCCAAGACGGCTCCAGAAGGGTTCCGACGCGCCCGAGAGGTCTCAAGAAGAACTCGAGGCCCTAGAGACCCGGAGAAGGCCGAAAGAGGTCCCAAGAGGGAGCACAGACACCCAAGATCATCAAAACACATGGTGTTTGCTCAATGTGGGTTGCCATCTTGGCTTATGGCGTCCAGTCGCCTCCGAGAAGGTCCGTGAAGCCTCGAGAAGGTCGCTGGACAGTCCCCCATGCCCCCGAATGGCCCCATAGGCTCCCAGCCGACCTCCCTTAAAAAAAGAATCGTCCCAAGACGGCCCGAAAGCGTCCCAAGACGGCCCCTGGAGGTCCAACCTGGAAGCTCGATGAGCAGAAAACTGCAGAGACACAAACTGGCACAGTTCCGCGGCCTCCTGGCTCGGCGCGGGGCCCCACAAACCTCTCCCTGCGCACGGAGTGCGCCCGGGGGCGGCGCAGGAGGCGCCGCCAGAGGGGGGATCCCCCGCGCCGACCCGATCCGCGCGGGCCTGCGAGAGGCGGAGGAGCACGAGGAGGAGGGAGAGGGAGGAGGAGGAGGAGGAGGAGGAGGAGGAGGAGGAGGAGGAGGAGGAGGAGGAGGAGGAGGTGGAGGAGGAGAGAGGAGGAGGAGGAGGAGGAGGAGGAGGAGAGGAGGAGGAGGAGGAGGAGGGAGGAGGGGGAGGAGGAGGAGGAGGAGGAGGAGGAGGGAGGGAGGGAGGAGGAGGAGGAGGAGGAGGAGAGGAGGAGGAGGAGGAGGAGGGAGGAGGAGGAGGGGGAGGGGGGGGGAGGGAGGAGGAGGAGGAGGAGAGGGCTGTGCCCTTCAGCTGTCTTTCTCGTTCCTCGTACCAGGAACGGCGCCCATGCACCGTGCAGTGTTTGCACTCCCCGCAGTGCCCCGCTCCAACGCGATAGGGTGCACAGTGCTTCGGCCCGACAGAGGGCGGGCGATCCATGCACCGCACCGCCCCTGGGCCACATCAAGAGTCGACGACGCCTCGGGAGACGCCAGCGCGGTACGGTGCACCCAAGTCGTCCACGGACCCCCTCGCCATGCCGTGCTCTACAGTGCATCGCGTACCCTTTCGGGATCATTGCCCTGCTCGACATCCGACTGTGCGAGTAGAGAAGGGATCTGCGCCATGGTAAGCGATGGGAGGGAGGGGTAGGATGTCAGATATGACGCGAGCGCACCTAGCTTGACGGACCCCCTCCCCCGGCGAAGGCAACACATGCACACGGCCGCGGCACCCAGCGGGGACACTCCCACCCGGGTCAGCACGAACCGGGTCGGCCAGGGCCCAGTCGCGAAGCCCGGCCGGCTGCTCACGAATGGCCTCCACACCCGGGCCAGCGGAAGGCGGAAAATGAAGGGGCCCAAGGACACGCAAATAAATACACACATAAAGAATCCCCCATACTTTCCCATATTTTCTGGGCTTCTGTCTTCCCGCCCACTTCCCATAGTTTCACATATTTTCTGGGAAATCGAGGATTACTTGTGTCTGTGTGTGTATTTTCCTCCTGAGGAAGGCGGAACCCGGCCCCACGTGGCCGGTTCTGGACCCCGCGAACCCCACAACGTTGCCACTGTCCCTTCGGCTACACGCAGGAGTGACCCTGGGTAAGAGTGACCTCTGGTGCGCGGCTCTTTGGGGGCCGCGGGGGACCACACCTGGGCGCGCAAGCCGCTGCTCCTGCTTCGTCTCCAGCCATCTGGGGACCCACCTGTGCCCGCACCAAAGGTCACTTCGGCGAAAGGTCACTCTTACGTCTAGCCGATCCTGGGCCAGCGGAAGGCGGAAAGGCGGAACCCGGCCCCACGTGGCCGCTTCTGGACCCCGCGAACCCCACAGCGTTGCCACTGCCGAGGACACACAAATAAATACACACACAAATAAACAGATTCCCTACATTTTCCCGTATTTTCTGGGTGTTTGTCTTCCCCCCCACTTCCAATAGTTCCGCAGATTTTCCGGGGAGTCCACGATTCATTGTGTCTGTGTGTGTTTTCCCTCCTGGCCCTTTCTGGAGCGCCCCGCGTGGCTCCCTGACCCGCCCGGGTCCGCCAGAGGGGGCTTGGGCGGACCAATTGGAGGCGGCCGGGGGATCCGAACCTGGGTGGGCCCCGAGGAAAAACGGCTGCCCGGACACGTGCTTGACTGTGGGGGCCCAACCACGGCCCCCGCAGGCCGAAAAAGGCGCCGAGAGTGAGAGCGATCGTGAGATCGCTCGTGCGATCTATAGTTAGATCGGTTGTAACATCGATAGTCAGATCGATTGTGAGATCGAGGGTGAGCTCGATAGAGAGGTGGGTCATGAGATCGTTGGGGAGACCGATCGAGAAAGAGATCGACCAGGAACTCGGGAACCCGGAAACCTAGCCCGGGACCGCACCTCGGTCACCCCCCCCCGGCCCGAACGTACCCGTGCAGGGCCACCTGCCGGACCCCGGCCGGCTCCAGGGCCGACCCCCGAGCCGAGGCAGCCCCGCCTGCGCGGCCAGCCGCCTCCGCCGCGGCCGCGGCCGCGGCCGCCGCCTCCCCCAGCGCGGCGGCGCCCTCGGCCAGCGGCGGGCACGCCTCCGCGGCCTGCGCGAAGGCGCGCCGCAGGTGCCGCCGGGCTGCGTCGCGGGCCTGCGCCGTCGAGGAGGGGGCGGGAGACGCGTCCGGCAGCGGAGCTGCAAGTGTCGCATCGGAGCGGAGCGTGCATCGGAGCGGGCTGCGCCGGGGCACGGCCTGTCGACCTCGAATATCGGATCGGCTGCGCCGGGATGCGCAGCAGCGTCGTGCACGCCTCGGGCCGCATCGGATCGCCAGGAGATCGGAGTCGGATCGCATCTCGAACGGGCCTGCGGCGTCGAGGAGGGGGGGGGGGGGATTTTCGGACTTCGAGGGCTCGAGGGTCGAGCTCTCCGCCGACCCCCGCCTGCCAGGCCCCCCCGCTCCCCCTCCCCCCCCCTCCCCCCGGGGGTCCAAGATACCGTTCGAAGGGTTGGGCCCTGGAAACGACAGGGCCGTTTTTGTTACCGGTTCCGTGCTGCCGTTTTTTTGCCGGTCCCGACGCCAATTTTTCACCGGTTCCGTCGCCGTTTTCTGACCGGTTCCGGCTCCGGTTCCAATCCTGGAGCCGTTTTTTTGTCGTTTCCTGTCGCCGTTTTTTGGCCGTTTCCATTTTCAATGGACATTTTTTTGGAAACGGTAAAGAAAACGGCCCTGCCGTTTCCAGGGCCCACAAAGGAAGCAGGAGCTCCTCAGCGCTCCTCCTGGGCCCGCGGAGAAGCAAGACAGGGCCCCAGCGACGGGCCCAGAGAGCCCCAAGAGGCCCTGGCGACGGGCCAGAAGGGCTCCGAGGCGGCCCAGGAGTGCTCCAAGACAGCCTCGAGGGCTCGGGGATCGAGCCAAAAGAGATCTCGGGGATGTCCGCGGGTCCTGTCTGATGTGGCCGCCCGGGGCGCACTCGTGGCCATGGTGGGGTCCGCCTCGAGGTTTCGGTTCGAACGCGACACCAAGACAAGCAAGCAGGCCCCAGGGAAGGGGTCGAGAAGTCCGGGGGACCGGCGGCTCGAACAAAACAACTCGTCGAGGTCTGGGAAGATTTTCTAGCATGGAGGAGCTCTATGCTTGTGCGTCCCTCCCTCTCGCATCCCTTCCCCTCTCATCCACTCCTGCCCCTCCCTCTCCCCCTCCTCCCTCCCTTCCCTCCTCCCACTCCTCCTCCTCCTCCTCCTCCCACTCCCCCTCCTTCTCCTCCTCCTCCTCCTCCTCCTCCTCCTCCTCCTCCTACTCCTCCTTCTCTTCCTCCTCCTCCTGCTCCTCCTCCTCCTCCTCCTCCTACTCCTCCTCCTCCATCATTCCTTTTCCTTATGAATAACTTCTCCCTGTCGCACCCCGAGGCCAAAAGTTAGGGCGGACCAGGCGTTATGCCTGAGACTTCCGCACCATTTACAACCCTGAGGCTTAAACTTGACAGTAGTTTCACAGATGGAGGGCGGGTGGCTTTCAGAATGTGGTTCTCGCATTAGCGCCGCGCACATCTGTTCTTAAACATTGCATGGGTTTCACGGATTGAGGGCGGGTGGTTTTCAACATGTGGCTCTCACTTTAGCGCCGCGCACATACGTTTTAAACATTTACAAGAGCTTCACGGGTTGAGGGCGGGTGGTTTTCAAAATGTGGCTCTCGCCTTCGCACCACGCACATTCGTTTCAAAACATTGCATGAGTTGCACGGACTGAAGGCGGTTCGTTTTCAAAATGTGGCTCTCGCCATCGCGCCGCGTACGTTCGTTTTACCTATATTGTAAGCGTTTTACTGATTGAGGCAGGAACGTTTTCAAAATGTCGCTCTCGCCTCAGCGCCGCGCACATGTTAATTGGCCTGGCGAAGGATCCAACCATATGCAGTTGTGAGTCGCGCAGTTGTGAATATCGCTGCGCCACTGGGACCTTCGGTGTAGCTCATATGGGGCCACGAAACGTGTGAGGGTTGTGCAGAAACGAACGGCAGGGATGTATGCGAACTGTGGCACTCGGACCTTCGGCGGAGCTCCGATCGGGGCCACGAAACGTGTGAGGGGTGTGCCGAAATGAATGGCGGGGACGCGTGCGAACTGTGCCACTGGGACCTTCGGCGGAGCTCCGATCGGGCCACGAAACGTGAGAGGGGTGTGCCGACATGAATGGCGGGGACGCATGCGAACTGTGCCACTGGGACCTTCGGTGGAGCTCCGCTGGGGCCACGAAACCTGTGATGGATGTGCAAACATGGATGGCGGGGACGCGTGCGAAATCAGCCACCGGGACCTTCGGCGGAGCTCCAATGGGGCCACGAAACGTGTGAGGGGTGTGCCGAAATGGGCGGCGGGGACGCATGCGAACTGTGCCACTGGAACCTTCGGCGAAACTCCGATCGGGCCACGAAACGTGTGAGGGGTGTGCCGAAATGGGCGGCGGGGACGCATGCGAACTGTGCCACTGGGACCTTCGGCGGAACTCCGATCGGGCCACGAAACGTGCGAGGGGTGTGCCGAAATGGGCGGCGGGGACGCGTGCGAACTGTGCCACTGGGACCTTCGGCGGAGCTCCTATGGAGCCACGAAGCGTGTGAGGGGGTGTGCCGCAATGAATGACGGGGACGCGTGCGAACTGTGCCACTGGGACCTTCGGCGGAGCTCCGATCGGGCCACGAAACGTGTGAGGGGTGTGCCGAAATGGGCGGCGGGGACGCATGCGAACTGTGCCACTGGGACCTTCGGCGGAGCTCCTAATGAGCCACGAAACGTGCGAGGGGTGTGCCGAAATGGGCGGCGGGGACGCGTGCGAACTGTGCCACTGGGACCTTCGGCGGAGCTCCTATGGAGCCACGAAGCGTGTGAAGGGTGTGCCGCAATGAATGACGGGGACGCTTGCGAACTGTGCCACTGGGACCTTCGGCGGAGCTCCAATCGGGCCACGAAACGTGCGAGGGGTGTGCCGAAATGGGCGGCGGGGACGCATGCGAACTGTGCCACTGGGACCTTCGGCGGAGCTCCAATGAGCCACGAAGCGTGTGAGAGGTGTGCCGCAATGAATGGCGGGGACGCGTGCGAATTGTGTCACTGGGACCTTCGGCGGAACTCCTATGGGGCCACGAAATGTGTGGGGGGTGATGGAGGACGGAATCGAGGGAGGAATGGGAGGAGTGAGGAGGGGGGGGAGGAGGAAGGAGGAGAACGCGGGGGCCGTCTCTTCAAAACGAAGACCCAACACCACAGGATGGTTGGGAAACAATTGCAACAGCCTCACGGATTGAGGGCGGCTCATTTTCAAAATGTGGCTCTCGCCTTCGCGCCGCGCACATTCGATTTCACAAAAAAAGTCCCGGCAAAGCAACCTAACAGCGATGTTTAGAAGCATATATGGAAGCATTGCCCTTGAGATTCATGTAGGAGTCCTCTTGTAGAATTCTGGTGTAATCGCAGTCGCAGTCGCAATCGCAATGGCACTTGCAGTGGCAACGGCGGGGGGGGCGCCCTGGAGGGGCGTGCGTCGTCGTCGCCGTCATGACGGCGACGACGGCGACGACGCCTACAGTTGGCTCCGAGCATTCAAAATCATGCCCAGGAATGGAGTTCTGGGAATTCGAAGACCACGAAGTGGCCTACAGTTGGCTACGGACATTCAAAATCATGCCCAGGAATGGAGTTCTGGGACCTCGAAGACCACGAAGTGTGTAACTGTTTGCTCGAAACGACTTCCGCGGATTCTCCCTGGCACCCGTCTGGCATCTGCCCAGACCCCCCTGAGGAGTCAAGATGCTTTCTTTTGAGACCATTAGAAACCTATCAGTCTTCGCTGTTAGGTAAAAAAGGTTCACGGATTCCCACCGTCAGAGTGCCAGAAATTGTGTTTTGGACGGAATCAGGATCATGAGGGTGCAAAAGTTACGGTGGTTCGGGGTCTTGGAAGCCCTGGAATGGCGTTCTGGCACGATTCAGGATCGTCAAGACGCAACAGTCAAGTTTATCCGTGGCGCTGGAATCCCGAGAGCAGTGTGTTGGCATGCTTCAGGGCCTTCAAACGGATGTCTTCCAACGAAACAGTTCCCTCAGTGGACATGAACCGTCGCAGAGGCCTATGAAGAGGGAGCTCGGAGGGAGGGTTTATTCCAACATCGCTGACGGCTCTCAGACTCACATTGGTCCTCCTCCTCCTTCTCCTCGTCTTTCTCATCTGCACCCCTTCTCTCCTCTTGTGCCAAGAGGAGCCCCGAGATCGCGAAGGGGACCCCCAGAGGCCTCCGGAGACAAACATGAGGCCCGAAGAGGCTCCCACCAGGCCCCCGAGAAGCTACCACGAGGCCCCCAAGAGGCCCTAAGAGCCCCCGAGGCATCACACGAGACCCCAGGAAGGACACACGAGGCATCCGACCCCAAACCCGGGAACGGCATCGGGATGGGCCGCAGCCCATTCGATCCGCCGCCCGTGCTCGGTGCCAGCCCTGCTTGGCACGGGGGCGGAACGCGCTCGTACTCTGTAAGGGCGCGGGATCGTTTGCTCAGTGTCTCGTCGTCGTCGCCGTCGCCGTCGCGTTTGACCCACCTCTCCTGGCCATCGCTCGGACATCCATTCCCTGTGTTTTTTGTTCCGGTTTCGTACGTGGTTTTTTCGCCAAATGATCGAGGATGCTCCTCGATGGTCCTCGCCGAAGGAAAAATGCACACGTCCGAGCGATGCCAAGTTTCCCTGGGCCCGTCGCCGATCCCCCCACCTTTCGCTGGGCCCGCCTCCGCAAGCGAGCCAGCCAGAGCGAAACCAACGCGAAACGGAGCAACGCCGTAGTTGAGTCGAAGGGAAGCCGCTTCCCTTTGATCCATCGGGGGGTCGGTCCCAGGGGGGTCCGGGGGGGGGTCCTGGGCCCGGGTACGAATATTATCAGGCAGCCCTGGGGGCCCCCCAGACGGTCCAAGAGGGCCCCGAATCGCCGAACAATCGGTCCAAGACGCCAAAGATGGCCTCCTGACAGCCCAAGCGGGGCTGTCAAGGCGCTCGAAGAGGCCTCCAAGAGCACACCAAGAGGGCCCCGACAGGCAAAATTACATACATTCCTTTTGGACTTTGGAAGATTGTGGCGTTCTCGCCTTTTCGGCTCCCCGACGCCCCATGACGGCCCAAGACGCCACCAAGATCGGCCCAAGAGGCCTCCAAGAGGCTTCCAAGACAGCCCAAAAACGACCCAGGAGGGCCCCAAGACGGCCCTAGAGGTCTTCCAGACGATCCAGGAGGCCCCAAAACGGCTCCAAGAGGGCGCCCACACGGGAGCCCGAACGAACACGTCGAGCCCTCGGCCCCGAGAAGCTCCCAGAAGGCCCGAAGAGGCCCCCAAGAGGCCCCAAGGAGGCCCGAAGGAACTCCCAAGAAGCTCCCAAGCGGCTCCAAAGATGCTCCCAAGATGCCCCAAAACTGCCCCCCAGAGGCCTACGAGCGCGCCCCGAAGAGGTCCCACGAAGCATCCCTGATGACGCTGCCCCACGTCAGCGTCGTCGTCGCCGCCGCCGCCGTCGTGGTCGTCGTCCCCCTTCAGGGTCGGAGGCACCAGCCGTAAGGCCTTCCCAACAAAAACCCACCTTGCGAAAAACAATGAATATGGCCTCTCTGGGCCCTCTTGGGCCCTCTTGGGCCCTCTTGGGGACATCCTGGGGCTCTCTTGGGAACCTTTTGGAGCCATCAAGGGCCTCTCTTGGGCCATTTCGGAACCCCCGTGGACCCTCCTGGGCCGTCTTGAGGCCGTCAACCCTCAAGATGCCCCATGAAGCCCTAGGAGGCCCCCAGGAGCCTCCCACCAGGCCCCCAAGATGCTCCAAAGGGGCCCCAAAAGTACCCCCCCAGAGGCACCAAAGAGCGCTCCGAAGAGACCCCAAGAAGTATCCCTGAGGACTCTGACCCACGTCAGCATCGCCTTCGTCGTTCTCCGTCAGGGTCGTCGTCGTCGTCGTCGTCGTCGTCGTCGTCGTCGTCGTCGTCGTCGTCGTCGTCGTCGTCGTCGTCGTCGTCGTCGTCGTCGTCGTCGTCGTCGTCGTCGTTCTCCGTCAGGGTCGTCGTCGTCGTCGTCGTCGTCGTCGTCGTCGTCGTCGTCGTCGTCGTCGTCGTCGTTCTCCGTCAGGGTCGTCGTCGTCGTCGTCGTCGTCGTCGTCGTCGTCGTCGTCGTCGTCGTCGTCGTCGTCGTCGTCGTCGTCGTCGTCGTCGTCGTCGTCGTCTGACCCACGTCACGGCCGGCGGCACAGGCCGCAGGGCCTCTCCAACACGGCCTCTCCGGGCCCTCTCCCGGCCCTCATTGGGGACCTCCTGGGGCTCTCCTGGGAACCTTTTGGGGCCCTCAGGGGCCTCCTGCCATCGCTCGGACGTCCATTCCCTGTGTTTTTGTTCGGTTTCGTGCGTGGCTTGTTCGCCAAATGGTCAAGGACGCTCCTCGATGGTCCTCGCCGAGGAAAAAATGCGCACGTCCGAGCGATGCCAGGGCCTCTCCTGGGCCGCTTCAGAACCCTCTTGGGCCCCTTCGGGGCCGTCTCGGGGCCGTCTCGGTGGGGGCTTCTGGTGCCATCTTGGGGGGGGTCCTGGGGGGCCTCTTGGGCCGCCGAAGAGGCAGCGTGGATCTGGAGCGTGGGCGCATGATCTACGGATGGGGGAAGACACCACAGTAAACATGGCGCCCGTGCCGCCTGACTTGGCCACGCAGCGCGCCGTTCCTGTGCGGAAATGGGAACCGTCGCTGATCCACGCTGGCTCATCTAAGCTGACGTACCCTCGACTCACGTGCAGCCGTGCCGTCCCTTTTCGGTGCGGGGACCCTCAGACCTCCCCGACCCCAGGGCCAGCTGCTCCTCCTGAGTGCTCTTGTTGACGGCAGCGGGCCCGAGACGCATCTCCCTGGAGGCCGAAGCCGAAGACAAAAACGCCAGGCACTGCAAAATTCACGACGTCGACGACGACGACGACGACGACGACGAGGACAGGCGGCAGCACCCAGCAAGACCGGCCGGGGGCCTCGAGCAGAACGGCCCGTGCCGGAGAGGGCACGCGCTCCCAGAGGTCGGCGGCGCTGCTGGGCAGCAGGCGCCACGTCTGGGAGGGGGAGGGGGGGGGGGGGGAAGGGACGAGGGGAAGGGGAAGGAGGGGCAGGAGGGGGAGGGGGGACGAGGAGGAGGAGAAGGAGGGGGAGGAGGAGGAGGAGGAGGAGGAGGAGGAGGGGGAGGAGGAGGAGGGGGAGGAGGAGGAGGAGGAGGAGGAGGAGGAGGAGGAGGAGGAGGAGGAGGAGGAGGAGGAGGGAGGGGAGGAGGAGGAGGAGGAGGAGGAGGAGGAGGAGGAGGAGGAGGAGGAGGAGGAGGAGGAGGAGACGGAGGGGGAGGAGAAGGAGGAGGAGAAGGAGTAGGAGTAGTAGGAGGAGGAGGCACGGCGCTCAGCAGTCCGATGCCCAAAACTTGGCAGTGGTTGGAATCAGAAACCAGAAAGTGCAAGCATCTAGCATGAACGTTGCGTGAGACCGCCTGCAAAACGAATGCAGCACTTAAGGCCTGTTAAGTGCAGCGGGCACGCGGGGCCCCCAGAGGGCCCAGAAGGGGCCCCGAGAAGGGCCAGATAGGACGCTGCACTTGAGGCCCGTGAATTGCAGCGAGCACTGATGGTTATGTTAGTTCAAGGCCACGTGCCGAAAAAAACAAGACCGCACTGCATCGATGATGTCATGGGGCCCCCAGTCTTAGAAGGAAGCCCCTTCTGGTCCTTGCCATTGTTCCTTCCAATAGCGGCCACCGCCCGAAGCTCGGGTGGGACCCAACGCAATATATCGGCGGTGGACAAACCTCCCTTTAGTAAACCTCCCCTTAATGAAAACGGCCTGGGACAAAAAACGACGGACCTAGACCCGCAGAAATGACGGCCGCGACGCCATCTCGCGAACCGAAAACGGAAAATTCCTCAATCGACGTGTCAGGGTAGGAGGTCTATCCACCTCCGAATATACGGTGAGAGGGCTCCGTCCAGCCCACGCAAGGTCTCCCGTGCAGGAGGCCCCCCACACTTCGTGCAGATCACGACGCGGCCGTGCGCGAGAGGCTCGTGCCGCCCTTTCGCACGGGAAGACAGCTCGAACGCGGAATGCCGTTCCTCCGCGGGGGTCGGCACGGCTCGGCCCGGGGACCCAGCCGAGGCCGCCGAGGCCAGGGGAACCGCGGATCCCCGAACACTGCGGGCAGTACTTATCTCCACATCCAGAGCGTCGTGGACTTTTTGGGAAGAGGTGCCGCGACGCCGAGGCGCACTGGATATAGATAAAATCAAGCCTCTTGGGGCCAGATGTTCATCCATATCCAGTGCGCCTACGGCTTCTGGGGAAGAGAGCCCAAAAATCCAGGACGCACTGGATGTGGATATAACTATTGCCCGCAAGCGCGACCCCGAGCAGCGGGAAAGGCCAAACCCGACTGCAGGAATAATTCAAGTGAATTCCACCTATCGGTCGGAGACGGGAGCGACTTGCCAGAGAGCAGGTGCGCCGAGTGCCCGTCCGCGGCGGGCCGCGCAGGCACAGACCTTTTCAGTGGTGCTCCGTGCGCGGATCGGCCCTCAGAAGGTCGTGTGCCACGACGCCGAGAGCACTCGAGGGCGCCAGGACGGGAGGCCTCCTGACGCTGGCAGCTCGCCCGTCGTGCCAGAGGCTCAGATCCATCGCCCGAACAACGGCCCAGGACACGAAGGTTAGCACGACCCGAGCCCGCACGAGCTCGGCCGACAACAAATCGCAGAAGCCCTGGGACGCCGCGTGTTGGTGGGGCCCGAGCTTCGCGAACCAGTCGTCCACATGCCCCCCATCCACCACACGGGTGGGGTCCCAAAGCCCAGGACCGATCCCAGGGTCTTGTGGGCGGGAACCCGAGGAGAAGCCAGGACCCGAGGGCCCGCGCACCCGAAAAGGAATGCCCCAGATTCAGGCGTGCCCGCCCCTCGCAAGCTCGAGAGACCGATCCCGCGACGACCCCTCCGCGACCAGCGACGACGGGTCCAAGAAGACGTGCTTGGTGCGGCGAGGGGGCACACTCCAGCGAGCGAAACAAAAACAACCCACCTCTCGGCTCTCCCGACCGTCTGGATGCCTGGGAGAGCGCCGCAAATGGCGCGAACAGGGAGACAACGCGTCACCTCCAGCATAACGCTGGCGAGGCCCGAGCCATCTGTACAGGCTTCGGGGCCCCAGCGATCGGGAGAAAGATGAGGAGAAGGAAGAGGAGGAGGAGGAGGAGGAGGAGGAGGAGGAGGAGGAGGAGAAGGACATGGAGGAGGAGGAGGAGGAGGAGGAGGAGGAGGAGGAGGAGAAGAAGAGAAGGAGAAGGAGGAGGAGGAGGAGGAGGGGCAGGAGGAGGAGTTGTTGGGCTGGGCATTCCACAAAACGATCCCTGGCAAGCTTTGACGGGAGACTGAAACCTAGTGCTCTGGAGCTCTGCTCATCTCACCTAAGCAGACTAGCTCGAGGGATACGGATCGGAGGACCTGTCTATCGCGAATGCCCAGGGGGGCGAATAGATGGGACCATCCGTCGTCCCATCGAATCGCCATGCTCCTCCCAGACTTAGTAAAAGTCTGGTTGCTTGCACTCTTAAGGGGAAGTCCAAGTAGAACGCTGGGGGTTAACCAATGAACCCGAGCTTTGTTCTAAAAAGGGTCAGGAAAAAGGAGGATGAGGAGGATGAGGAGACCGACGAGGACGAAGAGAAGACGTGGGCGCCCTCCCTCCATCCCTACCCTCACGCCTGTCAGGTGAGGGGGGAGGGGTGCTGCAGGGAGTGAGAAGAGCCACGCCCTCCAATGTCTTGAGCAAAAGTCAAGACGGCTATGGTCTGCCATTTTCGGCCTCCAGGGGGCGTTCTCGGGCTGCCGCACCGTCAGAAAACGATATGTGACGATTAACCAGTCCCTGGGAAGAGGTCAGGGGCTCTGGGGCCTGCGTCTGATAACATTCCATCACTTGTTTCGCAAGTCTGAATGAGGCGAGGCACATGGGAAATCAGGTAGTGAGTGGAACAGGCGAGAGAGAGAGAGAGAGAGGCGGGGGGGGCAGGGAGAAGGGAGGATGGAGGAAAGGCTTCCATGCTGTCGGTCTCAAACAACGTTCATGCTGTAGATGCTTGCGCTGTCTGGTTTCTGATTCCAGTCAGTGCCCATTTGTTCGCACTCTCCTCCTCCTCTTCCTCCTCCTCCTCCTCCTCCTCCTCCTTCCCACTCTCCACCCTTCTCCATCAGCCACACCCCATTCCTCCCCCTCAACAGGCATCCAACGGCCGCTTTGTGCTTCGAGGCATGGGCCTCCGGACCTCTCGACTCCTTCTCCGGGGACTGCTCTGGGGCCCCAAACCGGGAGGTTCGATTTGCTCGAGCCGCCGGATGCCTGGGCACACCGTCTCCAATTCAGCCCCGCCACCCGCCCGCTCTCTCCGCAACGTCTGGGGAGACGTAAGATTCGGGTTCGGGGGGCTCGGGTTAGCCTGATGGGCCGTCAGGAAGATGACGAGGCCCAATCTGAAATTCGACGCGAGCTCCCGCTGCAGACATCCCACGAAAACTGGACCGTCAAAATTCAGGACGGGGTCGCCAGAAGGCGTCGGCAAACCTTGCAGTACCATGTGTGGGACCTGCTCTAGAACAGGAACATACCGTAGACGGATCTGCCCTTTCTCCGACCTTGCACTGCGCCGAACGCAACGGCCGCGTTGTCTCTAGACGTATCCACCGCGAATGTGCTTATATACGTGAGGACATCCAAGTGTGCCTACAGACGCCTGTGGCCAGAGAGCGAGGATGGCATTTGGCATATGACCCAGATTCGAATCTTCTGGAAGCAGGCAGACGCTGCCCTCCTCCAAGGCAGGCCCCGACTTCTGGCGAACTCGAGCCGTATGCTTCCCAGACAGGTGGGCGTCCCGACCCCTGCTCGGTATGAAGGGGCCCCAGGACACACAAATAAATACACACAAATAAAAAGATTCTCCATATTTTCCCATATTTTCTGGGTTTTTGTCTTCCCCCCCACTTCCCATATTTTCCTATATTTTCTGGGGAATCGAAGATTAATTGTGTCTGTGTGTTCTTTTCCCTCCTGACGGTAGCGCGCGGGGCGAGCGACCTGGGCCGCGAATTCCGCGGTGGCGTTGTAGGCCGCGCCGGCCCACGCCCTGCACTGCCTGGGGTCCCCGCCGTCGGGGCCGCCGCTGGGGGAGGAGGCTGCACGCAGAGAGGGGGGCGAAGGGAGGGGGACCCTCTGAGAATGCACGGGGGGCCTCTCAGAGGAGACAAAGTTGAATACCGATACCGCTGCCCTTGCCTCGTTCTGGCTTTCGGGGGCCTCCTGGGAGGCCCTCGTCGCCACCGCTGGAATGGCCTCGAAGTTCTGGTCAGAAAGCACCCTGGGAGAGGCCCGGGGAGTCGCGGTGTCGGTATCTTCTGGTTTCCCCAGCCTCCTGGAAGCCCTCCTGCATTCTGAGAAACCTCCGCAGAAGCACATCCCGTCCTTCCTGACAGGCCCCCTGCCTCCAATGGGGCGATATTTTTTACGATTCGCGATGACAGCCGTTACTGGGGATGCTCTCCCTCCCCCCCTGCCTGGCAACGTCACGTTTGGCAATTGCTAGGGGTAGCTAAATTCCCAAACGGCGCGGGCGCGAATTGTAATGTTACCTGCCCGCTCGCCCCCCCTCCCCCCCGTCCCCCTGGTAACGCTCGCCATCGCCCGGGAAAACAAAAGACGGGCCCCTGCCTTCTTGGAGGGCCCACCTGTCGCACCGCTCCCTCTTGCGCGGCTGGCGGGCCCCCAGGGGTAGATGCAGTCAAGGTCCTGCCATGAGGAGCTCCAGGTGAGGAGCGAGGCCTCTTCTGGAGCATCGCCTGCGCCAAGACGCCCGAGGCGCCCAAGGAGAAAACCTGCGCCATGAAACACCCTCCGACGAGTCGAACATAGAGTCTACGATTTCGACATTTCCAAGTCGGTCGACCCCCAATGAGGTTCCAAAGGCCTCTGGGAGCCTCGGGGACCAGCGAGGACCACGCGGTCTCTAAACAGCAGCCCCCAAACTGTCCGACGACCACACCGTCCAGCGAGTCAAAAGTGACTCGGGGCGAGCGGGCGGTTTGGGGACCTGGGCGTTTACCCGGCTTTCTCGAGCAGCCTGGGCTCCCAGGTCCCAAAACCGTCTGGTGAGAGGCCTTCGTGATTTCGAGGTTATCGGGCCATCAGTCACCAACCAGTCTTCGGAATCATCTTGCCGCTGTGAAACACACATGACACGCACACACACACACACACACACACACACACACTAGTCATGACACCCACACACACACACGATGCACACCACGAGTCATGACAAACGCTCTCACACACACACACACACGACACGCACTCACGCATACACACACACACACACACTCTCACACACACACACACACACACACACGCGTGCGCGCGCACAAGCGGAACAAGGGTGCACAGGCACGTATGAGAGAACCACACGAGCGGAACGCAAATTGGCCACCGGACAACGTGCACGAGGCAGAGGGAAGGACCGAAGGACAAGGAAAGCAGAAAGGCCAAAGGGCCACTCGGCCGCACCGAGAAAGAAAAAGGTGCGCGGGCGGATGCCGGCGAGCTACAGCGCCCCAGGTGGGGAGGCGGGAAGGGCAGGCGAACGAGGAGAGAGCGCGAGCACCGGCCGGTCACCAGCACCGGGCACGTAGCTCACGGAGAACCAGCCAGAGATGCCACTAAATGCCACGAGTACAGTCGGGGCGTTGACCTAAGGAACCCTAAATAAGGAACGAGGCCCCTATTTGCCATAAGGTAAACTTCGATTTCCGATCAAAAACATAAGGACAGCCTGGGGCAAGCTGTGAAACACTTAAGGAACGCGGAGCCCCTCCCCAACGAAAAGGGTTCCTTCTTCAGGGCCCCGACTGTATTGGAAGTTGGCCCGGGCGAGGGAGGGGGGGGGTCGGCAGCGTGGTCTCCAAAAAAGTGGAGGTTGGAGGACACGCGGCGCCCTTAATAAGAGACGAGGTGTGGATGCAAAAGGGCGCAGCTGGTGGACCGGACCAGGGTAGAACACGAGGGGGAGGAGGACGGGAACGGGAGGAAGAGGAGGAGGAGGAGGAGGAGGAGGAGGAGGAGGAGGAGGAGGAGGAGGAGAGGAGGAGGGAGGACGATTAGAAGGAAGAGGACGAGGAAGAGGACGAGGAGGAAGAAAGGCTTGGTGTCCTGCTCGAGGCGCTGTCCAGGGGCAGCTGCCACATGTACGCTACGGCGCCGTCCGCCAAGAAGCACGCGGCGTCCTGGAACAGCGTGGACGCCTGCCCGCCCCCCGTCCCGTTGAAAACCGTTACTGCTGAGCCCGCAGCCCTCTCCGCCCTTGCCCACCCACTCGGGCACGCACACCCTGGGGTTAACACAACACGGCGTCGACGGGAGCCCCGTCGCGAAGCCCGGCCAGCCGCTCAGTACTAGACTGGGGTCAGCGGAGGGCGGAGAGGGGGAATCGGCCTCACGGGACTCCCAAACCCGGGTCAGCCCGAGCAGATGGGCTGACCCCGTTAGCGCCGACCCCCAGTACGTGAGCCCCGTGCCCAAGCCGGCGCCCATCCCCACGCGTGTACTCCACGTCCATGCGACTGTCCTCTCCCCCTGATCGTGTCCAATAGCGCTCCCGCGTCTTTCGCGTAATGCCGTCCCCACCCATCCAAAAGCACCGGGTGCCATGTGCTGGCGTCGCCTGTGGTTTTTCTTTGACCGGACAGTTCTCGTCAGAAGTGGCGCTCCTGCCGCCGCGTTGACCGCGCGTCAGGATCGGTGCCTCACCCCCGTCTCTCAGAACGGCGTTCTCGGCCCAGCGCGGGGCGCATTGTTCGATCCGATTCGTCCGTCGACGCTGCCGTAGTCATTCTGCCCCATCCTCCGCCCTCTGCTGATCCTTCCTCTTATCCTGCTTCTGCCGCTGCTCCTGCCCCGCCTTTTTCATATTTGTTCTCGTCCTACTACTTTCTGATTCTTCACTCGCGCTTGTCCTTAAGTTGGGCGTGTCCCCCTACAGGGGGATTTTCGACGAAAAAGAAACCAAAATGGTCAAAAATAATCCCAAACAAAAATCCCCTGACTATTTGTTGACTGTTTTTGAATATTCCTCCTGTAGAGGAACAAGCACGACTTAAGCTTGTCCACATCCTGCCATTGGTATTTACAGCAGCCCATCTCCCCGCAACGCACGACTGCTGAACGGGGCGGTCAGCACTGTAAACCATACCCATGTGCAAACCATACCCATGCCACGCTGTTGGGGAAGGCGTTCCCCAATCTTGGGAACGCCATTCCGCGTGCTATTTCGCGCAGACCGTTTCGTTAATCTACCCGCGCGTGACCGCCTGGTCCGCGCGAGGATTGCGCTGGCTCTATCGCGCTGGGAAGATTGCTCGTGAATCACATGGACAAAGCAACGCAAGTATGCAAGAACCGCCAGACCATCCTGGAAAATTATAACACATGCACGCGGGTGTTTGCTCGGATACGACCGTGTATGTGTCTGTAGCTCTATCTGTATCCACGCAGCGCGTTCGACAACTGGCGCAAGTGCCTCCCAACCTTGTCGGCGTCGTCGCTCGTGAGCACGCGTTCCACCCCAGTCTCGTTGAGCACCTGAGGTCTCCAAAAGGACACAAGGCACACCTTTTCCTCATTGCTCACCTCCTCTCTCCCTCGCCTGTTTCCTCCTCCCCCTCCTTTTCCTTTGTCCACCTCCCCCTCCTCCTCCTCCTCCGCCAACTGCCAAGGCCCTCGCAACGGAGTTGGCTGGGGCTCCCCATCAAAATCTCCTGCGCCAGCACAGCCTCCGAACCAGGCGTCGGCCCCTTTACCCCAAACGGCAAGAGCCGGAGGGCTCTAGCCAGGGCCCCGCGGCTGCAGACGAAACCCTTTGCGCCCAAGCCCGCGGCCTGGCCGCGCGCCGCAGCACCTGGTTCCGTGAAATTCGGAACGCTGTTCCGGCACTCGCGGAACGCCGTTCCGCAACGTCGTTCCGTGGCCATGATTTCCCGTGCTGCTCGCCGCCCGCTCGAAAATGGGCATGGCTTGCTGCGTTCGCCGCCCGCAGGGGATGGGCATGGTTTGCTGCGCTGCTCGCCGCCCCTGGGGGGCTGCGATCCATGTGACCGTCGCAGAACCAGGCCGGGCAGGCATGGGCATGGTTTACTGGGCCGTTCGCCGCCCCCCCCCGAAACGGCCAGACAGCGGTATGGTTTGCTGCGCTGTTTGCCGCCCCATCCACATGGGCATGGTTTGCTGTGCTGTCGCCGCCAGAACGAGCTCACCCTCAATGGCGTTTCGCCCGAGGCGGAATCGCTGTCCGCACGTGGGCGGAACAGGGTTCCGCCTCAAGGTAAGCCCTTTGGCCCCAACCCCGCTGCCCAGGGGAGGAGGAGGAGGAGGAGGACGCAGGACAGAGGAGGAGGAAGGAGTAAAGAGGAGGGAGGGGAGATATGGGAGGGGCGCAGGAGGACGAGGAGGAGGAGGAAGAGGAAGAAGCATGGAGGAGGAGGATGGAGGAAAGAGGAAGGGAGGAGGGAGGAGGGAGGAGGGAGGAAGGAAGGAGGACGGAGGTGGGAGGAAGGAGGAAGGAAGAGGAGGAAGGAGGAGAAGATGAGGATGAAGAGGAGACGGGGAGGAGGTGGCAGGATCAAAAGGAGGGGGAAAGGGAGGAAGGACGAGGAAAAGGATGAAAAGGAGGAGGAGGTCGACGACGACGACGACGGGAGAAGGTAGAGGAGGAGGGAAGAGAGGACTGGGGCAGGAAGAAAAAGAGGATGACACGGAGGAGGAGAAGGAGGATGAATGGGGAGGGGCAGGGGCAGGACGGAGAATACCAGGCGGCAGAGGAGGAGGAAGAGGAGGAAAGAGGAAGAGGGTGAAGGGCAGGAGGAGGATGTATCCACATCGCCTGGCAACGCAGAACTCGGGGGTACCACGGCAACAATCACGTGACCCACATGTGTCAGCCTCCATTGGCGAAATTCACAACATGGGTATTGATTACTGTGCTAACGTACTGGGGTATGGATTACTGTACTGTTACCCCCCCCCTCATCACGTACACCCAGACCCAAGACCACATGAGGGGGAGCAGAACGCTTGAGGCCATCGCACGCTGTCTCCAACTATGGTGTCACGAGCGCGGACGGCACTGGCACCCGATGACTTAGAGGACTGTTGCGGCCCAAAGAACCAGAGCACAACACTATGGTCCGAAGGCGACGAAGCCTGAAACAACCCCCCACGCCACAGCTCTCCAACACTCGCCATTATCATCTGCGGCCGTCTGAGCTTGGCAAGCCCCCTCGCGCTCCCGAAACCGCTGAAGCTCGAAACGGGAAGCCCCTGGGAACAGCCAAGCAGAAACGAACCTCGCAGTCACAGCTCGATAGCTCTTTGGTCCCACCTCCACCCTCCGCACCCTGCCCTCGATCTCCACTCTCCACTCCCCGCACTCTTCGCGCGGCAGATGCCGCGCGGCGGCGGCCCCCACGGCGAGCCCTCCCTCACGGAGACTTTGCAAGGAGGAGGCCGAGGGTTGGGGTCTGAATTGGATGGGCCCTTGGAGAATCGGTCAAGAAGGGGGGACAAGGCTAATCCGCTCAAACTGGTCCCGGGACCCGTCCCTGAGACCATCTGGCGCAAATGTTTTCACCCGGGATCCGTTTTGACTGTCCTGGGGTCAAAAACGGCCCCCGGGAGCCAGAAAAAGGCAATAAAACCTGTTCAGCCCCAGAAACTTAAACCTCGCTCCCCCTTCTTACTGGCCAGAACCACAACTGGGCCACCTTAGACCCCCAGACGGCTCCAAGCCGAGGGCCCCCTCGCGCGCGGAGGCGCAAGGAGCCCGCGCACGCGCAGACGAGCCTCCGAGAGCGCGCGGTCGGGAGCAGCCCCAGGCTGGACGCACGAATTATCTGGGACAACTCTGGCGTGGGCCCCCGACGCATGAACCAGGAGTTGCCCCTGATCACCCCCAGCCCCGATGATTCGGGAGGGGCTGGAGGCCTGAAGTGTCCAGGAAGCCTCCCGTGCGGGGCACCTTCGACTTGGGCCCAGGGCACAAAAACATCCGGAGATACCCCTGACCACCCCCAGCCCGGATGATCCAGGGCTCTGGCCAGGGCCTCTCCTGGAGCGCGCTCGGACCAGAACTTCGAGGCGGATCTGGCCGCGGCGACGACGATCCTGCCAGAGCCCCCAAGAGGAACCCCGAGAGGACTGCCCGCTGGCCGCGGCGACGAAGATCCTGCCAGAGCCCCCAAGAGGAACCCCGACAGGACTGCCCGAACCCTGGCCCTGCGGGCTCCATCCTCGGAGCTCGCGAGACGCGACGGGCGCCCCTTCGAGCAGCCCCCGGCAGGGGGGCACCTGCGGAGCCGCCTCCGCGACCTCGGGCGGCGGCCCCGTCTCGCTGGGCGCCGGCGACGCCTCGGCGGGCTCCTCCTGGCGCGTGCGGGCGGCCGGACCCCCCCGTGCTGAGCACCCGCGCGCTCGGCCGTGGACTCCCTGCTGCACATCGGCCCTCGGCGGCCCTCGGCGGTCTCGGGTGGTGCTCGGCCCCTTCTGGGCGGCACTCCGTGCGGAATCTGCGCGGCTGCGTCCTCCGAGGGAGCCTGGGCCAAGGCAAAGTGCCAGGGCCTGGCAGGAGGAGGCCGCCGAGCGGGGGGGGGGGCAGGTGCGGCCGCGCAGCGCGGCGCACACCTCCTCCGCGTGGCGGGGCGTGACGTGGCGCTCGCACGGGCCCCCGGGGGGGCCCGTTTGGGCGCCGAGGGCCTGGGCCGTCGAGGGCGCGGCGGCGACGCTGCCAAGACGGGCCCAGTGCCCGATCGCTGCGTGTCAGCTCGGCGTCTTGGTGGTGGAGCTCTGCGCCCACGAGCACGACGGTGACGTGGGGGAGGGCATCATCTGACCCCACGTGTCCCCCCCCAGGCCTCCCTGGCCGGCCCCCACAGCACTGCCTCTACCCTCCTGCCGGCTGCGGCAGCCAACACCGTGGTGGGCGGCGTCAGCCTGCCAGAACTGCTCATGGGCCCCCAGAGGCTGGGGCTGGGCCGTTTCCTCTGCAGTCGGACTCGATTGGAGAGGACACGCGAGAGGACACAAGACCCTTCCGAGGGCCACATTGCCAGTGAGCCCCCCCACGAAAGCGGGGCCGAGCCCGTTCCCCCACGCTTCGCGCCGCCTGGCCTCGCGTGCACCTCCCCTCGCATGTCGGATGAGCTCCAGCGTCTGGACGCGAAGAGCGCTCCTGGCCGCTCGACCCGAGCGCTCGGGTGTCGACAAGGAAAGCTTTCACGTGCACAACTTTTCACGCGAAGCCAACAACTCGGTCTCCGGAGGCTGTCGCCGCTCTCAAACGGCACGCGGTCGCAATCGCCTCCGCGTTCGGGACAGCTGGTCAGCAAGAAGACACCAGCATGGGGCGGGGAAAGGCAAGTTGTTTACCGGGTCATATCTCGAATCGCTTCTGTGGCGGGAACGAGCCAGCTGATGTGATGTGCCGTCCAGGATTTTGCACATGCAGCGCAATTATGTTGGATATCCCACTCATTAATCAAGGCTGGGCCAAAGGGCTGGTGGCAATCATCCATATTAGATTGCATATTTTTTGAATCCCGCTCAGCTTGCTCGAATAGCGCCCTGTGCGGCAGAAAACTCAAGAATTGTAGGGAACCGAACGGTGACAATTAAATGTGCAATCTCAGGTCCACGCCATAGCACGATGGATTATGACGACTATATACGCGGTAGTACCGACAAATCAGCATGGTGGATGTTACCCTGTCCCCGAAAACTCGCTCCGAATACTCGGGCACGAAGCAATGACTAAACCGTGCTATGCCCAAACTGGCTGGAGAAGCGAGTAAAACATACGTGGCGTTCATAAGCTGGTGATCAAGAAATTATGTCGCCGTAAGAACGCGTACGCATACAACATCAATCCCGCACCTCGATGCGATGCTGCACCAAACGTCGTGCGGCAGAATGCTGCAGACGCCGTAGTTCAAGTCAGGCGGATTCAAAGCACCTTGAGCGGCCAGCTCGGGCCACAACAAGGCCGTGCATGCAACATGGCCTGGGGCTGAGTTGAACCAGCGTGCACGAAGCTCTGGCACAATGCATTGTTCCGCGAGGCTGTGCGGCACAGATTGCATAGATTCCAACTTCCCGACCCTCGGTATGTAACTACTTCTGCCTCGCCCTCGATTGCCTCGACACGGAGGTGACCGCGACCGCCAAGCTCGGACAGAGTGGCAGAATTAGGGAAACGAACTTTATACACCGACACGTTTCCCGACCCTGCGCTGAAATTCGCACAGGACCGCGGATTCTGGTGCATACGGGACCCTGGTGTATATATTTGTCATTGTTTCCCTTGGGAAACGGGGGAAAAGTATACACCACACCACCCCGACGTCATCCCTGACCCTCAAAAAGTCGCGGGATTGAAACACAACCCGCCACTGGCAATGTATCTGTTCCAGTTTGCGAAGACTGGGACGCGGCACGGCCGACGCGGGCGGACGAGGTCGCGGATGGCAGATTACCAGCCTGGAACATACCCCTATCCCTATGTTGGGCATCGCCTCATCACGATGGCGATCTTAGGGATTCCCTCAGTTTCTGAGGGTGTATCCCTAAGATTGTCATCTCCTTTTAGCGTGTCAATCTTAGGGATAGGGATAGGTTCGAGGCTGGTGAGCAGAGGCCGGAGGAGGCCGAGGCGGCAACAGCCGGGCGGCCGAGCCGAGGCGGCCTTCCAGCCGCCTGGGGCGGGGCCCGCCTTCGGAGCCGCCTGCGCGGCCTCGCCCAGGGCGGCGCCCGCCTGCGAGGTGGCGACAGCTGAACCCTACCCCCGCCAACCTGACTACCTACCAGACCACCCCAACCCAACCCGAAGACCCGAATTTCGGGTTGGGGGGGTAAGGGTTCCACATGTGTTTTTTCGATGTTTCCCGACACACCACTGGAAATCGAGGGTAAATATGAGCCTTCGGGTTGGGTTGGGGTGGTTTGGTGGGTGGTGACAACCATCGACTCTCCCAAATCGATGGGAGGCGGGGGACGAGGGTTCGGATTTCTTCGCCACGCGTTCCGCGGACTCCGAACCCTGTCCCCTGCCGCCCAGCGCGCTGCCTGAACCGTGGATCGGCGAGGGAAGGGTTCGGGCTTCGCCGCCGACCTGCCGAGCCACCTCCGCGGCATCGGGCAGCAGCCCCAGCTCGGCAGGCGCCCGCGGCCCCTCGGCGGGCTCCTCGCGGGACCCGCGGCGCGAAAGGGCCCGCCGCGCCGTGTGCTGCATCAAGGAAGTCGAAATCGACGCCAAAGCGCTGGAAGCGAGAGCGAGAGAGGTGGCCAGGGTCCACCACCATCGTAGCAATCTCAACTGGCACGCCCCAGCTGACCGGGGCCCGCCTCTTCTTGGATCGCCGAAGTTTGGACACCAGACGATCCCCCGAAGCACCAACCACAATCGCAAGTTCTGTCGCCCAGGCAAGAGCCCCCGCTCTAGGAAGCACTGCTAAACGACAGCTGGCTGAGCATGGTAACCATCTAGACGCATGGCCTCCATGCCCCCTGCAGCGCATGCAGCCGGGAGAAACTTGTGCCATCCATCCGCGCCCAGGCTGAAGCCTGCTGAAGGGGCCCTGGGACACATAATAAATACACACAAATAAAAAGATTCCCCATATTTCCCCATAGTTTCTCATATTTTCCAGGAAATCGCCGATTAATTGTGTCTGTTCTGTGTGTTTCTTTTCCTCATGACCTGCCAGGTGGTCGTGCTTCCAATGTGTCTCACCTGCCGGGCGGCCTGCGGAGAGCCCTTTTCCCAGGACGATGCACGTCAGCTTGGCGGCCGAATTGCCGCGCTGTCCTGAGACCCTCTGCCATACGCTCCCGTTTACGTGCCCGTGTGCGACGAAACAGACAACGGAACGTATGACTAATACAGTCGGGGCGTTGATCTAAGGAACGATAAATAGGGAACGAGGCCCCTTTTTTTCCATAAGTTAAACTCCGATTTCCTATCGAAGACACAAGGAAAACCTGAGGCAAGCTGCGAAACACTTAAGGAACACGGAGCCCCTCCCCAACGAAAAGGGTTCCTTCTTCACGGCCCCGACTACGCTTGATACGTTGTCAGTGCCCTAGGTATGTGTCGTCATAGATCACGCAGGTGCCCATAATGTTCCCCGTAACGATGTGCTGCCCAGCGCCGTTGCCGCCGCTCCCGGACGAGGCGAGGCCGTTCTTGTCTCAAGACTCGGTAAATGTCGCGCGCAGTTTTAAATGCAAACGTGCGTCGTGCGCGCGCAATCTTCTGTGCGATCTGCAAGCATGCATCACAGTGTCGATCCGTGTCCAATATCACTGACGGCATCGAAGAGATCGGTCGAGTTCTCGAAGGCCTGCTCAATTCTCGATGAAGTTCAATGCGACGCACGCCGGTCTGGAGGGCGTCCCCAGTCTTCAAATAATCCCAGCGAAAAAATCAGGATCAGGTGAGGATCCGGTGAAGCACAAGGAAGACTCTACGACCCCTCGAATAGCACTGGCACGTGGTCCCTAGGGCGAGAGCTCGGCATTAGCTGCAGTTCGCGACCACTCCGCCAGGCGACTTGACGCCGTCGAATGCCAGGACCAAGGCCACGAGGTATTACGAACGTATCGATCGTGCTGCTTGCTCCATGTGTCCCAGAGGTTGGGCCAGCCCGGGGTGAGTATGTGCAGGGCGCGAAGAGGTAGAAAGTCCTCGATATACTCGCTAGCCGTCCGCCTCCTACGGCCTCCGTCTCTACATGATGTGTGCCAGTGTGTTCCTCATCATCGTCCCTCTTCTGCCCGCCCCCCTTTCAACCCAAATCCAAAGATGTTAGCCGAGACCAACCAAGACAGCACTGCGCCCTGCATCGTGCTCTTGTCCGCTTTCACTTGGGCCTGGCTTCTGACATGAGTCAGAAATCGGCGGAAGGTCTGCCACGAGGAGGGTGAGGTCCACTTGGGGCCCCTTCACACGGCAGATATGTTCAACCTACGTGAAATGTAGACGACGCCCCAAGGTAATACAGCAGCCATCACTCGAGTTTGCAAGAGGTCCCCTAGCCCAACCGAAATGAATGGCAACACGACGACCCGGAAGACGTTCAACTGGATACGCTCGACCACTCCACTCACGAATTTGGGTCCCCTGCATGACGATAGCACTTACACTAAACCGAACAGAGATCTATTCGATCCGTGACGCCGATACCAAACTGAAAGGATTGTGTGTGATAAGCTTCAAAGACGACGACAATAACGACATGCCGCAGGATGCAGCACAAGTTGCCCCCAACCCCCTAACTGCGAACGCCAACAGCTAGGCCCAGCCATGAGAAGAGGCGCGACGCTCATATGTGGGAAACTGACTTACGACGTTGGGAATTCCTTGAGAAACCATGCCGGAGGAGGAGCAGGAGGAGGAGGAGGCGGAGAATAAGAGCGAGAGGATGAGGGAATAAGAAGCAGGTAAGAGAGAGGCAGGTAGGAGAATAAACATCGTAGTTGCACTAAGGAAAAAACTAAAACATACGCGCGAGGGGGACAATGCAACACGAAAGTCCGAATCATAGTTTGTATTACGGCCGCCTCCGATGCATTCATGGGGGTCCTGGGGGGTCCCTGGCTCTTCCTGGGTCTTCTGGAGCCTCCTATGGGTTCACGGGCTCGCCTTCTGCTTCCAGCGGCTCCCGAAGCCTCCGAGGAGGGGAAGAAAAACGGAGGAGGAGGAAGAGGAGGAGGAGGAGGAGGAAGAGCAGCAGGAGGGGGGAGGAGAACGAGGAGGCAGAGGAGGAACGACGAGGACGAGGAGGCATTCGAGGGGCCCGCAGGGGGCAGGAAGACGAGGACGATGGCGAGGAGGAAGGAGAAGGAAAAAAGGCACAGCGGAAGCAGAGGAGAGAGGAGGGACGAAAGGAGCAGGGACGAGGAGGACCGCCAAGCGAGGAGAGAGAGCGGCAGGATGGGACACGGCATGGCCGACGCGGGCGGACGGAGCGGCGGACGGCGGGGGCTGCTGGAGGAGGCCGGGGCGGCCAAGGGCGGGCGGCGCCGAGCCCGGGCGGCCCTCCCGCTGCGCGGGGCGGGGCCCGCCTGCGGAGCCGCCCCCGCAGCCTCGCCCAGGGCGGGGCCCGCCGGCTCGGCCGCCCCCGCGGCCGCGGGCGGAGCGGGCCCCGGCTCGGCGGGCGCCCGCGGCGCCTCGGCGGGGCCTCGGGGCGCGCGGGCGGCGAGGCCCCCCCCCCGCCGCCCGCTCCTCCTGTTCCTCCTCCTCCCTCCTCCTCCTCCTGGTCCTCCTCCTCCTGGTCCTCCTCCTCCTCCTCCTCCTCCTCCTCCTCCTCCTCCTCCTCCTCTTCCTGCTCGGGCTGCGAAGTCCCAAAAAGTCCTCTTCCTCGCCCGGCCTGCCGTGCGCCGCCAGAGGTCGCGCGCCCGAGGCGCGGGGCGCGCGCTGCGCCTCGCGCGCTCTCGCGCCCCGCCGCCCGGGGGGCAGCTCCGCGGCCTCGGGCCTCGCGGAGCTGCCCGAGGCAGGCGTGCTGGGCTTATTGCGCCGGTGCCCCTCCTCTCTGCCTGCTCGGCACGGACCTCTGCGGCATCCTCGCGATGGCAGCGAGGCCCCCACCCCACCTGTCCTCCTCGTCGTCCCCGTCCTCTTCTTCCCCTCCATGTCCTCCCGCCCTCCCTTCCCACCACCCTCCTGGCGCGTGGGGAAGGGGGGAGGGAGGGGTTTCAGGAGAGAGGGAGTGGATTGGACTCGGCATGCAGTGCCAGCTATGAGACTCACGCCTATGCAGCAGCGACGTCAAACACATACCAATAATCTGGTAAGACAACATGTTGTCGACTTCAGCATCTGAACTGCGCAGACAATCCTAAAAGCATCTGGAAACTAAAGCTGGACACTGAAAGAGAAAACAGGCATAAGGATGAAGTCCTCAAGCAACCGTGTTCCCATGTGTGGCTGGGGCGCTTGCCCTCCAAGCTTAGATTAGCACTGCACGACCGTGGCCGCTCGCCAGAAGGTTCTTGCGTCTCCCACAGCGGAAGAAACGAAGCAGCCTGAAGATCGAGGATCGAGGAAACCGGGGCAGCGCCGTCGACGCAGCCGCCGCGCCCATCGCGCCCGCGCGGCTGCGTGGGCGCCGAAGCGATGGGGTGGGCAGGTCCAGGAACCCGTTCTCCAGCACCTGCAATGGAGCGGCCGCGGGGGCCCCCCTCTTGGGAGCGAGGCCCTCCACCGCACTGCCCCCTTCCGCGGGCAGGTACAAGCTGGCGGCCGCGAGGTCCCCCCCCCTGGAAAAACGTTCCAAGGAGGAGGAGGAGGGGGGGGGAGGAGCAGAGGGGAGGGGAGGGGGGGGGGGAGGAGGAAAAGGGGGAGGAGGAGGGAGGCGGGGGGGGGGGGAAGGAGGGGGGAGGAGGAGGAGAGAGAGGAGGAAGAGGAGGAGGAGGAGGAGGAGGAGGAGGAGGAGGAGGAGGAGGAGGAGGAGGAGGAGGAGAGGAGGAGGAGGAGGAGGGGGAGGAGCAGAGGGGAGCGGAGGGGGACCCACTCCCTCGCGCGGCCTGGCCCTGGACGGCGCCGCTCTGCCCGGCGTCGCCCGCCTCCGCGCCCTCGAGGGGCTGTGCCCCCGCGGGCTCGGGCCTGGGCCGCTCGGCGGGCGTGGGCACTGCGATGAGGGGGGCTTGGGGGGGGCAGGGAGGGGGGGATCTGGCGGTACGATGAACATATGTAACTGTAGATATGTAGGTACGCATGCACGTATGTATGCAGGTATGTATGTATACATGCAT